GTCTAGAATGGGATTACCATATTTCCAAGGATTGGGTATGTTCCTATGCTTGTTAGAGGACAGAAACATACAGATTTACAGGGCTTGAGTCTTCTGGTCTGAGTTGTAAGGTCTAGATCACTCACCTGGGCCAAAGCCATTTGCAGCTCAAGCTCTGCCAGCCGCCTCCCCATGCAGCTTCGCTTGCCAAAGCCAAAGGGAAGAGATGCAAATGGGTGGGGGGTTGGGCCCTCTCCCATCCAGCGAGCTGGACGGAAAGCATTTGGCTCTGGAAACTGAGCAGGGTCTCTTGAAGTGGCATAATGACATAAAGATACCAGTGTCTGGTGAAGGAGGAATACATAGTTGTCAGTTTAATAGCCAGGCATAGGTGGTGCATGCCTACAATCCCAACACTTGGAGATGGAGGCAGGAAGACAGTGAATTTAAGGCAAATCTGGGATACATTGCAAGCCCCTGTCTTGAGAACAAAACAGGACAAAAAAACACAAGCTTATTGGTTTGGGCACCAGAATGCTGGATGGATTTGACGAAGAGAACCTTTGGATTAGGACAAAGGCAGGTTCTGGTTTTGATTACGGCCAAATTTTCTGGGGTTGCTTTTAGAATCATTTCTCTGCTTTCCAGTTACATTTAGATCCAAGCATTTGGGTCAAGGAGGATTGGAAGGGCTTTGGGGAGTGTTTGAGAACAGGGCTGGGGCCCAAGATGGAGATGGCTCAGCAATAGGGGCTCATAAGCTTTACTCACATTTTTGGGGATAACATAACCGCCCAAATGAATATCTTTGTCTGGGACACGGGAATTTCCAGGTACCACGGGGTACAATCTAGGTTGCAAAGCAGGAGATAGAGACAGCAAGGTGAGGTTGGAGCAGATGACCTCCTCCTTATCACCTTCCAAATCCCTGTTTGGCCAGAAGTACAATTTTTCTCTCTCCCTGCTCCTCACTTCCATCTCTTCCCAACCTTTTCTCTAGCCCCTCCTTTACTTCCCCTCACCTTAGCACTTCCTTGACCACAGCCTTCAACAGAGGTAGCTTGGACAGAGCAGTGGCTTGTGGATGAGCACAAAAGCCAGGGCCCAGGGCAGCTGTGATCTCAGAGTAGAGCGCTGACTGGACTTCAGGGTGTCGCGAGAGCTCATACAGAGCCCAGGAGAGCGTGTTGGACACCTGTGAGGATGCGTAACAGCAGCTAAGGGGGCAGGTTTGGGGACCTGGTAGAGCAGGCAGAACATGGGGCAGTCTGGGGCCAAGCAGGTGCTAGATCAAATTGGTGTTCATGATCATAGTGGGTTCCCCGAAGCATGAAAATGGCCCCAGAGGCTGAGAAGGCTGCACTCTGTGAGGTTCACAGCACAGAGGAGAACCTTACCGTGTCCACTCCAGCCAGCAGCAGCTCTGTCACATTCCCCACGATGGACTGGGCTGGCAATTTCTCCCGGAAAAGGAAATGTGTCAGATGAGACCCAGACAGCGTGTCTTCCTCAGGCTTTCCCTGATTCTTCATGGTTACCTCAGCCTCTCGCCTCTCCACGTGCCGCTGGGCTGCATCAGAAGAGACAATGAAGTCTCACTACCCCTCAAGCAGCTTCCTACAACTCGCCCCCTTCCTTCTCACTCCACTTCTGTGCCTTACCAAAGGCAAACATCTGGTCCCATTCTCTGCAGAGGCGGGCCCAGGGTCCAGGCACAAGGTGATGCAGCCAGCCGGGCATGGCCATGGTCAATAGCGTGGACACGAACACCGAGCCCACTGCGCGGATGAAGGTCTCAGTGTCTGAGGGTACTTCATCCTCCAGACAGCCTAGGCGCGAACCCAGCAGCACGGCGGCTATGCCTGGCCGGGAGAGGGCGCTGTCAGACACGGGGAGAGGCGGCCTGCTGCGTCCGTGGCCAGTCCCTGTCTTGGTACTCACCTTCTAGTCCAAACTTGTAAAACTCTCCCGCCACGTCCCGCACCAAGGCGGGTGGACTGGTGCCACGTCCTCGCTGTCGCCTTAATCGTCCTACAAGGTCACGGACCACGTTACTTAGGATCCCTGCGTAACCAGCAGCCGCTTGAGGACGGAGGAGGAGTGGGGCCAGGAGACTGCGGAGCCTTTGCCATTCTTCGCCTTCTCTGTGGGAGGTGCAGAGAGGGCACATCAGGGAGAGAGGGAGGGTGTGTGTGTGTGTGTGTTAGACGGGACTTACTCTTGCCTAGAAGTATTGGATCTGCCCTCTCAGGGTATAGAAACCTGCCCCTGCCTGTGCCCATCTTCCTTCTTCCCTACTTATTTCCTGCGGGGGTGGGGGTGAGGTGAGGAGAAGGGAGGAAGGGAGCGACCAGAAGCTTACAGTCTATCTGGATTCTAGTACCCTAGCCACATCCATTCCTCCGGTCCCCTAGAGTTCCCAGGGTTCTGGTCTCAGCGAAGAATGAGGTGAGTAGGGGGACTCAACCTGAGTTAGGATGGAAAAGAGTGGACATCCCGGAGATGCCGAGAGAAGCTATCAACTTCCCTGCAAAGCCACGAGATAGATGGCGTCTCCATTTCCAGTAGAAGGGAGCCGTGGAGCCGCCTAGGAACTTTGGGGGCAGAGAGGACTCACGCGGTGAGCAGTCCACAAGCCCGGTGGTGGCGGCGACGGTGCTCGGTCCAGGATGAGAAGCCGCAGCGCTCTGGCCAGGGCCCCTCCTGTCGCAGCAGCTGCTCGATGAGGACAGGGTCAGCCACATACACGGTGCGCAGCGTCCCGAAGCTGGCCAGCCACACTGGGCCAAAGCGCGCCGTGCCCTGCACCTGGGAGAATCCACAGATCGGACACTTGGGTACCCTGGATGGGGACTCCCAGCATGGTTAGTGGAAATGCCGAGGGGATTGGCTAGGTTTGGGAGGGGCTTGCTTGCCAGGTACTTTTCTAATGTATGGTCCCGAGGCTGAGGCTGCCAATTCCTCTTTCTCCCAGCACATGAAAGTTCTGTGTGGGATAGGCAGAAGGCTGCAGCTTTGCAGAAAGCTACATTCAAAACTTCTCCTTAGTCATCTGGGCCGAGAGGAGTCCTTAAAGGTTCCCCACTTGGACTGTCCAACTAAGGACAAGTTCTTAATAAGTGAAAAATAGCACGTAGCTTTAAGCCAAAAGTGCAATGGGTAATTATGGGCTACTTCCAGTGCACTTGTCCTGGACCATCAAGGTCTCCAGAGGAGAGGGTGGAAGGGCAGAGTATAACCATCTGCTGAGACCAGGCACCAGTTGGGCCATCTCCCCTACCCCCAACATGCCTTTTCTAGAATCCATGGACATCTATTCTCACTGATTTTCCTACATTCACTCATTTGGCACTAGTCTGTCATTTCTGACATCAAAGGCAGTTTCTCCAGCTCTCAGTCCCAGGAGCTGGAACATCTTTTCCTACCTGTAGCTCATGTAGCTTGGACAGCCCCCCTTTGCAGAAAAGTTCAGCCAGGAAGCTAGGTGTGGAGGGCCCTGGGATGTCTCCCAAACTCCCAGGTGCTGAGTCGGAGCCTCGAGAACCCAGAGAGGTGCCCAGCATGGGAGGCCACTGGATTCGATGAAACACTCTGGAGGTGAGCTTGAGTGTTTGTGTCATGGTAGGTAGGGTTCAGGGAGCCCAGGAGAGAGCAGTTTCCCAGAGCATCTTGCCAACTTGCTAGAACCCTTATTTAATCCTTGGTCCAAGAGGTGATGACGCCCCCTTCCCAAGCTCCTCAGCCAATCCTTTTCCAAGTGGTCTGTCCTGGTGATCAGCACCCACAAATGGTAGGCGGGGCAAGGGCTGACTCTTTGGGGACTCATATTACAATGACCTTCATGGAGGGGAGGTCTTAAGTTTCTTCTGGCTTGCACCGTAGTTCAGCAGCCTAAAGATTTGTTTCTTCCTGGGAAAAGCTATGTAGAATAGACTACAGGAGTCAGTTGTCTCCTCTTTCCAAGGGAATCAAGCCCCTTCAGGATCATCCTCAGGAACTTCAAGATCATCCTACGACTCCTCCAGCAACGGAAATAGGTAGAGGCATGACTAACCTTCCTGGGAAATGAGGAAATTCTTTCCTCTGTTGAAGTGCCTAGATGTGCCATAATGGAGTTTTTGGGCTCACTGAATTGTACTTTCTTTGCATGTGAGTCTTCCTATATTAGTCACATTCTTCCTCCACCTAACACATACAGGGCAGGTGGTATGTAGGTTAATGGGTTAAAACTGACTCCAGGTACTTTTGTCTGTTTCTTAGGAAAGGGTATTATTTAGGTCCACAAGCCCCCTCCTTCCAGCAGTAGCATTTGGGTCTTGAGGAACAGAAGCAAAATAACAAAAAGTAGGGAGCTTTGGAGATTCTTTCCAGATCACCAGATGGAACAAGGACTAAGTGCATGTTCTCAATCTCTAGCTGACTCAGTTGCCTCTGGTTGGCTTTTTGGGCAGTTGCCTTTTTTTACTTTCAGCTTCAGAATTCTCCAGTTTAGCTCTCTGCTTCATACCACTCACTCCTCTCCCTACTCTTTTGTTGTTGTTGTTGGTTGTGGGGCCTGAACTCTGGGCCTGGGTGCTGTCCCTCAGCTCTTCAGCTCAAGGCTAGCCCTCTACCATTTGAGCCACAGTTCTACTGCCAGACTTTTCTGATTATGTGGTGCTGAGGAATTGAACCTAGGGCCTCATGCATGCAAGGCAAGCACTCTACCACTGAGCCACCTTCCCAGCCCCTCTCCCTACTCTTGTCAGACTTATCAAACTCTAGACCAGTCAACTGTGAGGTTTTGGAATCAAAGGTCAACATGGAAAAGGAGAGGGCTTCTATCCTCTCATTTTCCAAGGACTCTCCACAGCCAGCAACAATAAAGGGAGCACAAATTGCCCAGGTTAAGTCTTAGGCAAGAGAGGATGGGAGGAGGCATGTGACACACACCCCAGTCTTTTCTGAGAAATAACAGCATGAGCACGTGTGTGAATACACATTATCCCCAGGACTGCAAAGTAAACACAAGTAGGCAATGATTTGAGCCAAGCAGACAGTTTAGATGGTGGGGCACTGCATTCCTCAAGCCAGCTGAGGAGAAACCCCACACGTGAAGGGAGTTCTAAGGGAGAGCATGACCTCACACTCTTCCAAAGATTCTCTCTGATCCAAAGTCCTTTGGCCTTCTTGTCAAGCTTCTTTTGCTTTGTGCTGGCAGTGAGGAGACAAGAAGGTAAGAGGAGATAGGGCAGGTGTGAACCACGTAGCACCCTAACTTTTTAGAGAGATACAGCCTTCTAGCTATAGTGTCATTTGGGAAGGCCTGGAGAGTGGGGTGGGGCTTGACCTTTTTTTCCAATCCCTGGAAAATGGGACACCTAAGGCAGGGTAAACAGTCAGTGATTAGGCAGGGTGGGATTGGGGGGTCACTGCCTGTAGAATAGGATCCTGTATTCTTCGGAAGATGGCTGGGAAATTCTTTCCTCCATTGCGCAGAACTTTCTTTCCTTCCTCAGTTGAAGTGCCTAGATGTCCCACAATGGGGTCTTCACTCTGGAAGAAGGAAGGGTCCAATATGTCTTTGCCCATCTTTCATATTAGGCTCAAAGAATACAGGACAACTATGGAAAGGACCGTTATCTTTGCAATTTCCTTTTTACCTCCTACTTACCAATTCCTCCAGAGGCACACGCTCAAACAGGGGGTGCCCCTCAAAATGGGTGCACATCCAGTGGTGGAGCTCCAGCACATCGGTTATGGTATATACCAGCCCCTGTATAAGCAAAATGATCCTAGAAGGTCTACATATACAACTGAGCAGCAAGGTGATGGAGTGAGGGTGCAAGTACCTAAATGTACCCATGATTATTATTTGAGAAGAGCCCCTGGGGTAAGCCTATCCTCCTTCCCGGCTCACCCCAACTCTCAGCACGTAAGCATATTCTGCCAGCAGTGTGGGACTGATGATTCGCCACTTGTGCTTTGTCCGCTTGAAGTGTGGGTCAGGGAAGAGGAAGAACATCTTTGTCAGCTGTGAGACAGACATGCACCAACAGAGTTGTGAGTGTTCGAACTCCATCTTCCACCTACCAGCCTTTCCAATCAGGGCCACTCCCTACCTGGCCCTTGCGGAAGAAATTAGGAAGGTGTTTCATGGCATTACTACGGAGACAGGCAATGTTCTGGAAACCACCTCCAGGAGCTGCACGTAGAGCACGAATTCGGTCCTGTACATAGTCTGAGACCTTCACGCGAATTTCAAGACCCAGAATCAGGGTGTCTGGGAACAGTGGTGACAGTTCCACTGGACACAGAAATAGAAATATGATCATTAATCTCAGACTTGCATGAGGTGCAAAGGGTCAATACAGGAAAGAAAGCCTCAATTTGCAACTACCAAAATCAGATATCTATACAAAAAATTCCCTGCTGGAAAGGAGGCAAAATACAAAAACTGCCCCCAGCCAGGCGCTGGTGGCTCATGCCTGTAATCCTAGCTACTCAGGAGGCTGAGATCTGAGGATCATGGTTCAAAGCCAGTCCGGGCAGGAAAGTTTGTGAGACTCTTATCTCCAATAAACCACTAGAAAACCAGAAGTGGCGCTGTGGCTCAAGCGATAGAGCACTCACTTTGAGCTAAAGAGCATAGGGACAGTGCCCAAGCCCAGAGTTCAAGCCCCACGACAGATAAAACAACAACAACAAAAAACTGCCCCCAGAACTAAAGTGGAATAGCTAAGACTATGTGTACAATTTGTGATTGCTTTAGCGTTCTCACAGTGATTTCATAATGGTCTTATTTAATCCTTGTAACACTCTGTGGTAAAGAAGAGGAAATCAGTAGTCAGGAATGCTCAAGATCATAAAAATAAGAGCTGGAATTTAAACCAAGATTGGTTGTCTCCCCCACCCTACCCCTTACCAACATGTTCTTCCTGTCATGCTGTTATCTGTACAGAAAAGTCTAAAATGAGGGAAGTGACCTGTCATTCAGACTTGGGACAGCATACACAGTACAAAAGAGACCCCAAACAGGAGTGTGGATCAGAAAGAATGTGTTCTGGTGAGGGAGGGGAGATAGTGGAATCCCCAAGACAGTTCAGGTTCACTGGCCACAGGGACTAATCTCTGACGCTTGTGCTGACCGATTCACTGACCCAGCACAGGACAAGAAAAATGGCTCATGATGGGACTAGAGCCAGACAGGATTACCCAGGTTCTAAGAGGCATTCGAGGCAGCCTCCTCCCTTCTTTAGAGCAAAGGTCATAGATCCATGGTAGAGGGTAGCTGCAGGCTCTCCACACTGTTGTCACCAGTGTCTGGAAAGAAGGGGAAGGTCACTATGGCCCCCACCAAACCTGCTGAGGTGGCAGAACCTATGCTTCTTGTTACTCTAGAAAAAGAGCCAGTGTTACCTAACAGGCCACCATAGCCACAGCCTATGTCTGCAAACTCCACTTGGGCCTCCGTTCTCTTTTCTTTCTTATCCTTTGGGTCGTCGTGGCTCTGATTTTGAGTGAGTGGAGCAAAGAACTCTGGGTATAGCTCAGACCAGTCCATCTCCTCTGGCTTCACAGGGCTATTGGAAAGAAGACAAAGAATGTGAGAAGGCACATTGGTCATATAATTTCAGAAGTGCTGCTGCTTGGTGGATGAGTGTGGGAAGCAGATGGAAGCAGTTTCTCACAAATTCTGCAACAGTGGGTCCTGGGGCCCACCTCTAGGAGACATTTTGGAAAACCCCCTAACTTCCAGTATGATTCACAGGCACATCATATGGCTCATGACTGATGACTTGCCAGTCTCTTTAATACATTTATGTGACCCTGGCTAGGTAGTTCTTTCTGGAGTACAGGTTTCCCTTCTTCCAAAGTCTGTGTGTGCCTAAGGCACTACAATCTTTTTTTTTTTTTTTTTTTTTTTTTAATTTTTAAAGGGTGTTCTGTAGGTAGAGGATGAAGTAAGGGATGGGAAGCCCTGAACTTAGGGACTGGGCACTCTCCCTGAGATTTTTTTTGCTCAAGGCTAGTGCTCCAGTTTCAGCTGTTTTGGAGGGTTAACTGGAGATAAAGAGTCTCACAGCCTTTCCTGCCCAGGCTGGCTTCGAAGCGTTTAAGTAACTAGGATTACAGTGGAGAGCCACCGGCGCCTAGTTTATGTTTGTCTTTTTGTTAAGCTTAGCAAACCAAATCGAAAGATGGAGACGACAACCTGTTTCTTCACTCAAGTTTCAGGGGGAAAAAATTCCCTATTCTCAGACACGGGACCCCTAACTCTGACTTTTCGGCTAAACACCACGCCCCTGCCCCGCCCCCCTTCCAGCTGGCCAACTCCCGGACCCGACTCCCCCCAGCTGACGTCACCCAGCCGAGCCTCCCCGCCCAAGCCCTGCCTCCCGCCCCAGCACGGTCCTCTCCCACGTCGCTGGGAGGATCCCGTCTCCTCCTTCCCCGTCCCCCTGCCCCGCTCGCTCACTAGTGCAGGGTATGGTCCGCCATGGGATTGGAATGGGCGCGTTGCCGGTAGTAGCGCTTCTGAGGCTGCAGGGCCTCCGCTCCCGCCATGACGCTGGAATTCTTCCGAGTTCTCACCGAACCCACGTGGAGATTGGGCCGGCGGCGCACGATGATGACGCAGACACACGCTAGGAGAAAGCCACGCCCCTTAAAGCCCCAAGGCTTCGCTGGGCGGTGAGGCCCGCGATGGGGAGAGAGCGGGCGCGGGAACCTCCCGCATCTCTCGTTTCTGTTTTTCCTTCTTAAAAAAACCCGGCTGGCGTTGCCTGACCCAGGCTCCCAGCCTCTTGGCTTTCTTCTGCTCTGATCTAGGTCACCATGCTGTAGTTGCACGCAAACATTTGTGCACCCCACAGGTGAGAGGGACCTGGCGTGCAATCCAGCGTCCTTACTCTCGCTCTGGTCTATGGCCCAAGTCTGCCAGGTCTAGGCTGTTAGGGCCGACGTGTCCAGGGCCGGGCAGGTGGGTAGCTCCTCGTCCTCCTCCAGGAAGTCCAGACTGGAGGAAGGAGGGCAAGCGGGGAGGGGAGGAGAGGGGGCGGGGCCCGGTGCCTCGGGTTAGCCTGGACGGCCGGCAGCACCAGCTTCGTACCCCGCCACCGACACCTCGGGATCCAAACGCTGCCCGTGGGGTCCCGATAACTCTCTCGGCTGGATGGCAAACTCCTGCCTGGGTCCCGAATTCGAGTCGGTGTTCCCTCGGGAGGTTGGGCTCTTCGCCGACTTTTACTCGGAGAGGAGCCGCTTCTGCTTCTGTGGCCACGAGCTGAGCATCACGCAGAACTTTGGGTCCCGCCTGGGGGTGGCGGCACGCGTGTGGGATGCGGTGAGGAATGGGCTGCTCGAGTGAGGGTCCCTGGGAGGGCCAGAGTTCGAATCCAGCCACTTCCATATGGATGATCTCTCCGCCAGTACTTAGCTATTTATTTATATATTGATTTTTATCCCTCACCCCCATAGGCTCTGAGTCTTTGCAACTACTTTGAGAGTCAAAATGTGGATTTTCGGGGCAAAAAGGTGATCGAACTGGGCGCGGGGACGGGCATCGTGGGAATCTTGGCGGCGCTGCAGGGTGCGTGAGCTGGCTTCGTGGCAAGGAGGGGTGAGGGGTTGTGGGCGTGGCGACATTGTCACTACGTGGATTACTGAGAGAGGAGAGTGCTTTGGGCCCATCCCTGTCCCTTACTTTTAACAAACAACACCCTACCCCCCATCTTCTGTATGGCATTCATTCAGTGCTGATTGGTTTTCAAAGCACCCAGGGTGAGTGCTAATTTGGGGTTAGGAAATAAACAACTGACAGGCCTTGTTTTTGGAAACTCTTTTTTGCTGCCTGGGTTTTCATGGAGAATGCCATCACTAAAAATTTTTCTTTAGTTTGGACATGATCTTCAGTCCAAATGCATATATAGGGATATCCTGTGGAGCATCCTATGGAGGCATTAAACATCATGAAAATTTATAATTTTGTTATGTTAGGTTCCTTAGTGAGTTTTTTTTTTTTTTTTTGGTTGGTCGTGGGGCTTGAACTCTGGGCCTGGTTGCTGCCCCTTAGCTCTTCAGCTTAAGGAGAGCCCTCTACCACTTGAGGCACAGCACCACTTCCGGTTTTCTGGTGGTTTATTGGAGATAAGAGCCTCATGGACTTTCCTGTCCAGGCTGGCATTGAACTGCAATTCTTAGTTCTCAGCCTCCTGAGTAGCTAGGATTACAGGTGTAAGCCACTGGTCTCTGGCTAGTGGTTATTTATTTATTTAATTTTTTTTGGGTCCAGTCGTGGGGCCTGAACTCTGGGCCTGGGCGCTGTCCCTCAGCTTTTCAGCTCAAGGCTAGCGCTCTACCACTTGAGCCACAGCGCCACTTCTGGCTTTGTTCTTTTTTCTTATGTGGTACTGAGGAATCGAACCCAGGGCCTCAGGCATGCAAGACAAGCACTCTACCACTGAGCCACCTTCCCAGCCCCTTATTTATTTTTTTAATTATTGCTTTTAGTTGGTTGGTTATGCTTATGTAGTTTAGGCCAGCCTTAAACTTGAAATCCTCCTACCTAGGACTATGGAGTGGGGGAATTACAGATGTGTACCACCATACCCAGTTAGAACTTTTAGGTCTTTATTGTTAGGGGACACAAGATTGTGAGTTTTGGGGACTAGGGTATGTTTCTTGGGGAGTGAAGGTAGGAATTAAGCATTGTAAAAAAGAAAGGAAAATTGTGTTTTGTGTGTGTGTGTGTGTGTGTGTGTGTGTGTGTGTGTATGCGTGTGCGCGCGTACCAGTCATGGGTCTTCAACTCAGGGCCTAGGTGATGTCCCTGAGCTTTTTGTACACAAGGCTAACACTCTATTACTTGAGTCACAGCTCCATTTTTGGCTTTTTGGTGGGGGGGGGAAGGGGGGGGCTGACTTCAAATGGCAATCTTAAGATCTTGGCCTCCTGTGTAGCTAGGATTACAGGCTTGGGACATCAGCATCCAGCTTTGTGCTTTGATTTTATAAAGAGCGAGAAACGAAAAAGTTTCTTAATTTATAATCAAGGGAAGACAAAACACCACACTAAAAACACTCATTTAAAAACACATAGTGCCAGCTGCTGGTGGCTCACACATGTAATCCTAGCTACTCAAAAGGCTGAGATCTGAGAGTCGAAGTTTGAAGCCACCTTGGGCAGGAAACTCAGTGAGACTCTTGTCTCCAATAAACTACCAAAAAGCAAGTGCAGCTGTAGCTCAAGTAGAAGAGCACTAGCCTTGAACAAAAATAACTCAGGGTCAGTGCACAGGCCAAGTGCTAGGACAGGCACATACAATAGCATGCACACACACATACAGAGTGTGTGAAATCTTGTAAATGAGTAGGTTTTTGTTCATGGAAACAGAATGAGGTGACATGGAGAAGCCTTTCCAGAGGCAAGCCTTCATTCTTTTGCTCATTCAATCTACATGTATTCCCTATGTACCTAGAATTGCCCTGGGTGTTTGGGATTTGACAGTAAATAAAGATTTCCTCTCCCTAAGCATATAGTTGGGTGGGGAAATTAGAAGAAAATGTTATGGTCCAGTGCTCTGGAGAGGTATATGTGGAACTAGCGGATATGCTCTGTTTTAACTCCTTGGAAATTCTTCAAGGGAAAGCTCTGATAGGCAAGGAGATGAACAATGTAGTGTGAACACTGAAGGCATATAAAGAAAGAAAGGAGTACCACAAAGGGCAAGTGGATTAGAATCAGTTATATTAAAAGGGGAGAAGCTACTCTAACTATTCAGGAGGATGAGATCTGAGGATTGAGGTTCAAAGCTAGCCTAGGCAGAAAACACTTTTATCTCCAATTAACTACCCAAAAGCCAGAAGTGGAGGTGTAGATCAAGTATTAGAGTGCCAACAATAAAGCTAAGGGACAACTGCGAGGCTCTGAGTAGCTCAAGCTCAGTGTTGGCCCCTCAAAAATAAATAAATAAATAAAAGAGGATAAAAGGCATATGTATGGATGGAAACATCCACCTTCACTTGCTCCCAGACTAGATTTTTCTTCTTTGGCCCCCTGCTTACTTGCCAAGTCAGGTATCTGTTCTCTCCCTTCACATCCCAGAAATTGGCCTGCTCTTGTATTAACATGTCCTTAACATTCTAGTTATCTATTCCAATTCCGATCATGTCTAGTTTAGGGTATTACCATCTCTTGTCTGGGTTTTCATAAGAGCCTTCATGTCTTTCTATGGGGAAATTTAACATGCCCAAACTAGATCTAAGATATTCTCCCACCAAACCTGTTTATCCTTCAGGTTTGATGAATCAAACCACCATCCATCCAATGGAAACCCTGGATGTCACCTTTGACACATTCCCAGGTCTTTCTTTTTTCTTTTTCTTTTTGATGGTCGTGGGGCTTGAACTCAGACTCTGGGAGCTGTCTCTGAGATTTTCTGCTCAAGGCCAGCACTCTACCACTTTTAGCCACAGCTCTACTTCTGGTTTTCTGATGGTTAATTGGAGGTAAGAATCTCATGGACTTTCCTGCTCTGGCTGGCTTTTAGCCACGAGCCTCATCTCAGCTTCCTGAGCAGCTAGGATTACAGGCATAGCCACCAGTTCTTGGCTGGTCTTATTTTAAATTTGTTATCACTGAACTCAGGTCTAATTAGCCTGTTTTACTCCTCTTACTCTTCCAGTCTCCTAAACATCAATTTCTTTAGTTTTTGGCAGTACTGGGACTTGAACTTAGAGCCTCATAATCGTTAGTTTAACTTTTTACCACTGAGCCATACCCCTAGTCTTTTTTTACTTTAATTTATGTTTCAGGTAGGATCTTGTGCTTTCTTCTCAGGGCTGGCCTAGTCTGTGATCCTCCTTACTTTCACCTCTTGTGTGAAAGAGTTATAGGTGTGTACTGGTACATTTGGTATTCCGGCCCTAAACGTAGTTCTTACTTCTTTTTTTTTTTTTTTTTGTCGGTCATGGGGCTTGAACTCTGGGCTTGGGCGCTGTCCCTGCGCTCTTCAGCTCAAGGCGAGTGCTCTACCGCTTGAGCCACAGTGCCACTTCCGGTTTTCTAGTGGCTTATTGGAGATAAGAGTCTCACGGACTTTCCTGCCTGGGCTGGCTTTGAACCTCGATCCTCAGCCTCCTCAGTAGCTAGGATTTCAGGCGTGAGTCACCGGCGCCCGGCTTTCCTTTTTTTTTTTTCCTTTTCAGTACTAGTGGTTTGAACTCAAGATCTTACACTTGCTAAGCAAGTGCTCTACCATTGAACTATACTCCCCAAACCTTCAGTTTTTCAAATCCCTGAATACTTTCTCTGCTGTTGTCATTATCAGCTGATGGTTTTATTTCCTATGTTCTGCTTGCACCTGTTTTCTCAGAAAGTGTCCGTATGTTCCTATCACAACTTCTGCTCCCCTAGCTGTGTCTGTGTTTGCAGGTACTACCTTCTGTTTTGCTATCATGGTTGGACATAGCTAAGGACAAGGTCTTCACTTGTCACAAGATCCTAAACATTTCCACCTGCTCAAAGACACTGTTCAATCAACTCCCTCCCTCTCTCCTGCATTATTCATTTTTCTTTCTTTCTAGGTTGCAGTCTGCCTTTCTGTCTGTCTCATCTCCACGAGGCCCTGCCCCCCACGCTGCCCCCCCCCCCACGTGCGCACGCACGCACGCACGCACACGCACACGCACACGCGCACACACACACACACACACACACACACACACACACACAC